GACTGACAGTGGAGGCCTAGGGAATATATAACAGTCATCAACCAGGACTGACAGTGGAGGCCTAGGGGATACCTAACAGTAATCACTCAGGACTGACAGTGGAGGCCTAGGGGATACCTAACAGTCATCACCCAGGACTGACAATGGAGGCCTAGGGAATATCTAACAGTCAACTCCTAGGACTGACAGTGGAGGCCTAGGGAATATCTAACAGTCATCACCCAGGACTGACAGTGGAGGCCTAGGGGATACCTAAAAGTCAACTCCTAGGACTGACAGTGGAGGCCTAGGGGATACCTAACAGTCATCACCCAGGACTGACAGTGGAACCCTAGGGGATACCTAAAAGTCAACTCCTAGGACTGACAGTGGAGGCCTAGGGGATATCTAACAGTCATTACCAAGGACTGACAGTGGATGCCTAGGGGATACCTAACATTCATCACCCAGGACTGACAGTGGAGGCCTAGGGGATACCATAACAGTCATCACCCAGGACTCACAGTGGAGGCCTAGGGGATACCTAACAGTCATTACCCAGGACTGACAGTGGAGGCCTAGGGGATACCTAACAGTCATCACTCAGGACTGACAGTGGAGGCCTAGGGAATATCTAACAGTCATCACTCAGGACTGACAGTGGAGGCCTAGCAGATACCTAACAGTCATCACTCAGGACTGACAGTGGAGGCCTACGGGATACCATAACAGTCATTACCAAGGACTGACAGTGGATGCCTAGGGGATACCTAACAGTCATTACCCAGGACTGACAGTGGAGGCCTAGCGGATACCTAACAGTCATCACCCAGGACTGACAGTGGTGGCTTTGGAGATAGCATAATAATCATCATTCAGGACAGTCTTCTCTAAGAACTGACAACAGTCATCACAAAGGACTTACAACAGTCTTGTCTTAGGAATGAAAACAGCCATCACCCACATGTTTTGGGATTCAAATAATAATAAGTTTTAATTGGACCCTAAAGATACTTTTTGTTTCAATCATTATTCTGTTGTCTTGTTTTCATTTGAACACAGCCAGGAGTGTGTATACATTCAACATAAGTTTCATATCAAAATTAGTAACATGGAAATTAATAACAGAAGAAATAACCCAAATTATTGTTATCAAATGCATAGGTTATTATCAGACATTATTTGGGGGGTTTTCATGAAAAAGAATCTAACACAGAGAGACATTTTTATTGTAGATTATACAACTTCTACAATATCCCCACTACATGCCCCATATAATACCCCTAGGCGACACGAATGCAAATTTAGATTGTTTATGGCGACAGCATTACTGGACATTTTTTGTTTTTGACTTGTGTGAAACAGTTACAGGGTGTGTATGTATTATTAGACAGGGGCGGCAAACATATATATCACATACATACAACACCTGTACAACACGCCACAGATCTGGTTCATGCACAACAGGTCTGTATTTACATCTAAGTTAAGTTATGTCTACTGCCATCAATTATTCAAATGTCCAATACCAGTCCATCATTTGGTTCTGATTATACTTACCACAAAGCCATTCCTTCTATAACTTGTACAGCCAAGTATTCATTCTTAATGACTAAAAGGAAGTTTCTATATAGTTTTCTTTTTATTGACAAAAAATCTTCATAAAAATACACAGTGAAAAAACATCTTAACATCATAATGTACGGTGAGAAACACTTCAGTATCCCTTATTATATATTGCAGTTATATTGCCATTGTATACCAGTGTGGTGGTTGAACATTTCACATCATTCAGTGATTCCCATTACACCCATTGTATACCAGTGTGGTGGTTTTATAATTTACAACATTCAGTGATTCCCATTACACCCTTTGTATACCACTGTGGTGGTTTTATAATTTACATCATTCAGTGATTCCCATTACACCCTTTGTATACCAGTGTGGTGGTTGCATAATTTACATCATTCAGTGATTCATGCATAAAAATCTCAGGGGAAAATATGATATATCGCTCAAATTTGTGAAAAGAAAATAACTCATCTGACTGGAAAATAGCCTGATACACAAGTTGCTATGGTAACAATAATACTGGATGAGTAATCTGAAAGCAGAATCAATAGCACTTTTAAGAACATTGTATTCTCAAGACAGGAGGTGTACAGATGCTTGTCTTCCACACAAATTGTTAAAAAATACTAAACCACAAATGTCAAATTGAAACAGGGAACTCAGAACATTTACAGTACATTCACAGTAAGTAGCTCTCATTCACTCTCCAAGTGTAGTGACAGGAGATATTAGATCAGGTTATACTGCTACCTCAAATATCACCTAGTGAAATTCAATTTAGTAATAAACTAATCACACATTACTGTTCATTGAAAACACATTTCTGAGTTATTCACTGATCCAATTGGTTTTTCATTTAAAGCGACAGAAGTGTGACGAGCAAAAATATTTTTTTCATATTTCATTGTTGAGCAGACCATCTCAGTGATTGTAAGGATCAGCAACAGAGGAATGCAGCAGTATAAAGGTACCTGTGGATACTGGAGGTATTGATCAAACAATGGCAGCACAAGGCTTCAAATGGCCACTCCTGTCACTCAAAACTACCGACATTTCATAGAGATTCCCTGTACAAACCTCCAGTAACAACTACTACCAGCCATCTCCTATCGATTCAGTCAGACTCCATCACAGTACTCACTTTTTATAACATGTATATCTTATTTTCTTGCCAAAATTGTTCATCTATGTACTTAATCAAAAACACAAATATTGGAGTTCAGCTTCCATAAGAACCATAGGGACGTTGTAAAGTCACCAGGGATCTGTTCTGGTGACTACATCAGCTCCATATACAAATTCAATTATCAATGAATATTTTGTTCATGCATAAATGTAATAGATATTTGGTAATTGCAATTCCTTGCTGTTGAAACACTTGGCAACTTTGGAACAAAGCTTTATATCTTTATCTAATGGCCACAATAATTGTTTGATAAAAAAAATCAAAATAACTGCAGCTGTGAAGGTCATCTAATATTGTTATTATCGTGTGTTTAATGTTATCCACTACAACATACAAAGAATGATCAACAATATCTGCCATGTTGGTTTTGTGGACATACAATGATGAGGCATGGAGGCACGGTAGTCTAGTGGTAGGGCGCCGGGCTCTTGACAGAAGCGTTGCGGGTTCGAGGCACGGCACTGTGTTGTATCCTTGAGCAAGATACTTTACTCCACTTGTTCCAGTCTACTCAGCTGTAAATGAGTATGTGGTTGGGCAGCGCTAGAACTGTTGAATGCTAGCTGTTAGCGCCAAAATGGCAGCTCCGGCTGTATGCTCCCCAGGGAGTTGAGAAAGATATTGGATAGTTGCAAACGCCCTATAACCACAGATAATAATTTGTGAACCGCTTCGAGACGACCTACGGACAAGGTTGTGATAAAGCGGTATATAAGAACCTCAAATTATTATTATTATGAGTTCTATTTACATTTTTGATTTTGTAGGTCGTCCACATACAGTGTTTTTTCATCATTAACATTTTCAAACCTTTCTGACATCTTCCTATAAAATCACTTTTAATGGCTTGGCTACAACCATAAACATATCAACTTTGCAGTCTTGTACCAATTTTTTAGGTATGACAATACTTCAATAATTTCCATTATGAACAAGTTTGATACCATAAACATATCAACTGTGTAGTCTTGGTACCATTTATATACCATTAACCATTCCAAGACTGGCCCTGTTAAAGATGACACACACTAGTTGGTGACCTTTATTGTCCCTGACTGGCCCTGTTAAAGATGACACACACTAGTTGGTGACCTTTACTGTCCCTGACTGGTACTGTCACAGGTGACACACACTAGTTGGTAACCTTTACTGTCCCTGACTGGTACTGTTACAGGTGACACACACTAGTTGGTGACATTTACTGTCCCTGACTGGTACTATTACAGGTGACACACACTAGTTGGTGACCTTTACTTCCCTGACTGGCCCTGTCACAGGGGACACACACTAGTTGGCGACCTTTACTGTCCCTGACTAGTACTGTCACAGGTGACACACACTAGTTGGTGACCTATACTGTCCCTGACTGGTACTTTTACAGTTGACACACACTAGTTGGTGACCTTTACTGTCCCTGACAGGTACTGTCACAGGTGACACACACTAGTTGGTGAACTTTACTGTCCCTGACTGGTACTGTCACAGGTGACACACACTAGTTGGTGACCTTAACTGTCCCTGCCTGGTACTGTCACAGGTGACACACACTAGTTGGTGACCTTTACTGTCCCTCACTGGTACTTTTACAGTTGACACACACTAGTTGGTGACCTTTTCTGTCCCTGACTGGTACTGTCACAGGTGACACCCACTAGTTGGTGACCTTTACTGTCCCTGACTTGTACTGTCACAGGTGACACACACTAGTTGGTGACATTTACTGTCCCTGACTGGTACTATTACAGGTGACACACACTAGTTGGTGACCTTTACTTCCCTGACTGGCCCTGTCACAGGTGACACACACTAGTTGGTGACCTTGACTGTCCCTGACCGGCCCTGTCACAGGTGACACACACTGTTTAGTGACACCCTCTGACCAGTCCTGTCACAATCTTGTCTTCGGGCTTCCAGCACACATAGTTGTTTTACACAGATTTACCTTCAGATAAGTTTGAGTAAACTTTCCAATAAGAACATGTCTTCAGGGACTTAACAAATCTATTGTGATAATTCATCACCTGTTGCTATCTGATTTGCACACCACATACACAAGGATTTTATCACTAGTCGAAATACCTGTAGGAGTCTGCCTCAAGAAAAATACCAATGATTTCAACAAGTAATTACTAGAAATCAAAGAAGAGCATGAGGTCATGCTAATTTTGACAGGAAAAAATTGTAATGATAATAAAGTAGTTGAAAGGCACACTCACTAAGATTTCTATGTGACTTTTCAATCCTGACTGACTTCAATACATACCTGATTAACATCTTCTGTACCTCCACTTTGAGCATTTTGGTCATTTTCTACTGATGTGTTAGGATAATTTCCTACTGACATTCCAACTTCTTCTCTCTTTTCTGAACCTTGCAAAACATTTCCAGTCACTTCCACTTTTTCTATCTCATTAGTGACAGATATTCCAGTTCCATCCTCCTTTTGATTCTCCTCCAAAGCTATCCCTGTTACCTCCCCATCTTCAGCTTTACTTATTGCTTTCTCTGCAGGTTGCTGCCCTTGTTGGGGAGAAGTTTCTAAGGATCTGGAGCCGGCATCACCACCCTCCTTATCTACCTCCTCTGTTATATTTTCTGGCTTTGTTTCAGCCTGTTTAGTTGCTGCTTCCAGAGCAGCATTGTTACTTTTTGTTTGGTCATTTAACTGTTTAGCCTGCACACCTGGTGTACTTGACTGTACAGGAGGCTGGACAGTCTCTCCTTCCTGCTGCACTGCACAGTATTTCCCTGTCTGCTCTTGAAGCTCATTGTCCTTTTCCCCACCAACCAAACTAAACTTTCGCAATTTATTACCCATTGTAAAATCTAACTAATAGAAATTGTTAAAAAATATTTTTTAAAATATATATCCGCAGTACAATGAATTTCACACAATATCAATATCTGTGACCCATCTAAGCATTCTCAGCTGGATATTTAGCTGATAGTGACATTTACAATCCAAGACCTATAACTGAAGAATGTATATATAACTGTCATGTGTACACCACAACACGATACAGGTCCTATAGTGATCCTACTGCAATAAATCCCTCATTAATCCTCACAAAGTGATAGCCTCAAATGCTCCGCCTAATTGACACATTAAAGCAACATGTGCTTAGACCTTGCTTGCTGAGTTGCCTGTTACTGCAGCTTAATGCTGTTCTAGTCACTGATCCCTCCAGTCAATACTCATTCCACATATGCATGCGATGGGAGCTGTTCTTACACCAACCGCAACGGTTCAGTCGTCAAATCAAACAACTCCTTCTTTTATCAATATTTTTGATGTCCATTACACACCAGAAGGACACCTGCAGGTCACCAGGATGCTTGTCGTTGGTATGCCGTAATGTTATTACATCAGATGAAGCTTTCTGACTGATCACAACTTTCCATTAATATGGTCGCTTCACTTAATGTTGAATCTATATAAAATCTATCACTCTAGAATTTCCAAGGAAATGTAAATATCTGTAAATGGATACAGTTTACAGTCCGTCTATATTCTCATTCATCTGCCATACAGCATCTATAAATCCAGAAAGGTATGGAGTTCACAGGTGATAGACATGAAATATGAATTATTACAGGAACAGCTGTGAAAGTACCAGCAATGATATGTCCATAGCTGTCAACACTGACACTACCTGGTAATTACAATAATCCCTGACTTACTGTACAGTCATGGAAACTAACTGTGTTAAAACCACACAGCATGAATATATGTGTATACACGCTTGCATGCTTTGCTGAGCTATGCTGACAAGATTTGCTGATTTAATTTCCCTGACTTTGTCCTTGTACATGGATGTCACATCCTACTGGGTAATCATAAATCAAAGGTTTGTCTGCTGAGGAGCCTGATACCACATCCAGCTCCCCTTATAGCTTCTGTTTACATGTACTTCCTCCCTGTAAGGTTGACAAGATGGTCTCTGTATTTTATGGCTGTAGCTAGACTGTCATTAGCTATTCACACAACAATAAGGTAGCTTGCCTAAGTGTGATGGGAGAAATGAATTGGTGGCAAGATGATCAGACGATGTACCTTCACCCATATGTCCAGCACAATGCCACTGTTATTTACATAGGTCTATGTGCTATGAAACCATAGCCTCAAGTTGTGTGTGACAATGACTGGGCATGGCTGTTTAATGGAAGGCTGGCCTGACATCAGCCAGCTGGGATACATGTCTCATTACAGAGTGGTCAGCTATATATATATATATATATATATATACAAAGCTCCTCTAGGGACACCACAGCCAGCTAACACACAAAACTCACATATAGTGATCAATGAACCTCTAAGGTGTAACTTAGATATCAAAAATATACAAAAGTGTAACCCTGGGGCACTTCTTGGTAAATGTCGATTTCATCACTGAATGCATATTGTCAAACAAGTTTGTATGGTCTATACAAGTTTTATGTAAAACATACAGGTATGTTGGGTTTTAATTGTATACACGAAAACACAGTCGCCTTGTAACTTCACTTGAGGGGGAGTTTGATTCCCTTTAGCACCATTGGTAAAGCTGTCACTGATTCTCAATGGAAGCACATGCACACTACTCTCTTGGTGTACACATGAAAGACTTAAACATAAACAACAAGTCCTGCAGTCTACACATGTAGCACAAGGAGTCTGATATATCATTAAAATGAAACCACATCTACAACATTTCTTCATGCCATTACCTGCAAAAATGCAGCTACATTGTATATAATATGTCAAAGTTAAAGGCTATGGAGAACCATGTAGAGTTTCCATATCAATATGTTATCTTTACTTGCTAGACAGGAATTAAATCACCAATGTTGACCAATTTTAAAGTCTAAATGATATTAAAAAACACCAAAACTGGATATCCTCGTTCTTTATACGTCTGCCTCAATTTATTGCCAAAACCCCTTTATAATGCCAATATTTCTTTGAAACAAATGGTGGCAATATAACAAGGTTTTGCTGTACCTTAAAATGGAGTACATTTAGAAAGAATAGTTGAGCAGACAACATGAAATAGTCAACAGCCTATTGATGGTGGTGAGCGATCTGACACTGCACATGCAAACTTGCACAAAAATTTAAACCAAGTCCAATAAAGGTGTTTTTGGCACCTGAATATGAAAATATGGTGCAGAACATTGCTAACACTCCATATTAATACTTCAACCTTATAATAGACAACTGACTATTAATGGTGGTGAAGCAACACTTCACAAAACAAGAGGCCCATGGGCCTTAACGGTCACCTGAGTCTACAGTATTTATTTTTGTTGTTGAAATATGTACCAATTTGAGTAAAAAATAGTATAATGTTAACTTAACTTTGTCAGGACCATGAGCTGATCATTCCTAGACCAATTTTAAGTGAGATCGGCCTATTAGAACTTAGTAGCAAAATAGCGGCCATGGCAGCCAAATTGTATTTCTGATTGACCCGAAAAATAACAACACTTTGTCAGGACCATGAGGCGATCATTCCTACCAACTTTCAGTTCAATCGGCCCAGCAGAACTTGACTTTAAGTTTGAAATGTAAAATGTTAACGGACGACGGACGACGGACGACGACGGACGAAAACGGATAGCAATAGGTCACTTGAGCTAAAGCTCAGGTGACCTAAAAACTTGCCCAAAAAATTTAACCTCAGGCCTTAGGCGAGCTAAAAACGTATCAATATTAATTATTCTTTGCATCATAAGGTCAATATTGTTAATAGATTTAGACCCAAAACTAGCTACTTGAGGTGGTTTGACCTGTCCCAGGCTGTAGGAAGTAGCTGGTCTGACCTGTCCCAGGCTGTAGGAAGTAGCTGGTCTGACCTGTCCCAGGCTGTTGTACACAGCTTGTCAGGATCTGAATTTTTGACCCATACTGAAGTACTCCACTTTATTATTATACTGATAATATTTAAAATTAGCTTACATAATACTGAAGTTGCTCTATACATAGACAAATTATCATCAGCAACTGTCAGTGGGGCTGCTTCAAGTTGGAAACTATAAACAATGGTTTGACTATATCTATGTTGTGTAAGCCTATAAATATTTATGACTCCGAAATAATGACCTTACCACCATATTAGTATTGGTCAAACACCAGAATAAATAGTGGGGTCAAGTTATCCAGTCTGATCATGCTCAATTACAACATCAGATCCTGGATGGAGTAGGATAACGAAATGGTAAAACGGTAACTTCTAACGAGTACATTCTAGTTACATCACCAAGTTTGTTAGAGCTAGCCATCTTATTTCATTCCTGGATTCACAGGAAATAATCTTTTCAAATTTTCATCTTTTGAATGACGGTTTTGCAGCACAGAAATTAGAACCTGCACACAGAGGAGCCTACTGATATAGAGGAAATGTTTGCAGATTTAAACAGGTGTTCTTATTATGGTAGTGTATATTAAACAGGAGAGGACAACTACATGGCCAGACTGGGATTCCAACCTTACGGTGTTGCCTGCTGACCTCAAAATATTATTTCTATGAGATAAAGTCTGCAGATTGCTCCCTTCATAAAATTGCCCACAGGTTAACTGCTACAGTATATCATAGGCAATGAATACCAGATAAACATATCATCGGATTTTCTCCTCACCTTTCTAACGTTTCCGATGTGGGTACATGTAGCTCTCACCTGTATTTACCTGGATATGTAAACCTGTTGATAAATGATGCATTTCATACAGATCTATTTGTGAGATGTTTCACGTTCTATATCTCCTGATTTCAACAGTAATTGTGACTCCTAGTAATCAGCATGACATCAAGACTGCCATTCATTATTCTGATTTATTACATACTTACTAATAAATACAGGGTTTTTGTATATGCGATATGACACAATTGCTCTAACCCATATCAGCCCTAGCCGTATCACACCCCAAAACCTGCATCAGCCCCCGCCGTATCACACCCCGAAACCCGCATCAGCCCGCAAAACCCATATCATACCCCTTTTGGGAAAAAAAATGTTTTTCAATATTTCAAAAATAAAAATAAATCATAAGATAGTAGTTTTTATTAGTAAGTATGTAATAAACAGAATAAAACACGCCTTTTTCCATATCACACCCAGTATCAACCCTTGACCAATATCAGCCCCCTGGCCTTCAGCCCTTAGGCTGATATTGCAGTCTCGGGTTGATACTGGGTGTGATATGGAAAAAGGCGTGTATTATTCTCTTTGTCACTAAGACAATATACAGGTAATACGTATACAATGCCAAGAATATGAGCCAATTTTTCATGAATAATTTCAATGACCAAGTCTTGAGAATTTCAATAATTTTGTTTTGGTTTTGTTTTCAATTAGAGATGTATATGATCTTTCATTTGAAAGATTTCATATAGCCTGTACTGTTAGTAGTTTTATGTAAACATTTCATCACATTGCTCGTTTCTTCAATGTTGTTAGCGTACAGTCAGTGGACATGAATTTAAAGTACTAGGTTGCTTATAGCGATCAATCCAGTCCAGTTCACCTATATTCCTCCATCCTTCATCTAGGTCTTCACACCCCTAACACACTGTTTATAACCCTTAACAACCGTTGGTTACAGGCTTCACTGTAACCGAAGCAGAGGAATGCATGGCCAAAACAGCATTCGAACCTATAACCACTTACTCTAGATAGATGATTTACTAACCAATGGAGCTATCTGGTCGCCGGTAATTGACCCATTCTAGTTCCACTACACACATTACAATCCTTGGATGGATGAGTTTTCATATTGGAACAGGAGTTCTCTTAATGGTTAGTGTGTATACATAACACAAGGGGAAGCTTAGGATTGGAACATCTCTAAGAAAACCTTCCTACATGTTTTTCCTTATAGGATTTTGTATCTGAAGAAAAAGATATCTTACTACTGGTAATCATGCATAGATCCCCTAAATCAATATCTTGGTCAGTCGATTCTATTAAAAAGGACAATCACAACCCGATATATATAATTAGTCAATGCTGTACATATACATGATACACTGATAGGTCACACAGTATGCGATAAACAAAACAGATATACAAGACGTTTGTGGCTGTGATATACATAATCGGATATTCATCATCTAGCATGACTGATGAACAAAGACCTGAACATCTTAACAAACAATACATCTACACAGGTAATATGTGTGGGATCATCATACCTACACAGGTAATATGTGTGGGATCATCATACCTACACAGGTAATATGTGTGGGATCATCATACCTACACAGGTAATATGTGTGGGATCATCATACCTACACAGGTAATATGTGTGGGATCATCATACCTACACAGGTAATATGTGTGGGATCATCATACCTACACAGGTAATATGTGTGGGATCATCATACCTACACAGGTAATATGTGTGGGATCATCATACCTACACAGGTAATATGTGTGGGATCATCATACCTACACAGGTAATATGTGTGGGATCATCATACCTACACAGGTAATATGTGTGGGATCATCATACCTACACAGGTAATATGTGTGGGATCATCATACCTACACAGGTAATATGTGTGGGATCATCATACCTACACAGGTAATATGTGTGGGATCATCATACCTACACAGGTAATATGTGTGGGATCATCATACCTACACAGGTAATATGTGTGGGATCATCATACCTACACAGGTAATATGTGTGGGATCATCATACCTACACAGGTAATATGTGTGGGATCATCATACCTACACAGGTAATATGTGTGGGATCATCATACCTACACAGGTAATATGTGTGGGATCATCATACCTACACAGGTAATATGTGTGGGATCATCATACCTACACAGGTAATATGTGTGGGATCATCATACCTACACAGGTAATATGTGTGGGATCATCATACCTACACAGGTAATATGTGTGGGATCATCATACCTACACAGGTAATATGTGTGGGATCATCATACCTACACAGGTAATATGTGTGGGATCATCATACCTACACAGGTAATATGTGTGGGATCATCATACCTACACAGGTAATATGTGTGGGATCATCATACCTACACAGGTAATATGTGTGGGATCATCATACCTACACAGGTAATATGTGTGGGATCATCATACCTACACAGGTAATATGTGTGGGATCATCATA